TCAATTTTTGAGATATTGAGATCAAATTTGGAATGTAGGTTACGTTCTAGGGCTTACATCATCCAGCATGCCGAGTGATTGTGAGAATCTACAGGGAGATATTTTTTTCAGGGGTCAAGCTCTTTTTTACCCCATAAACTTTTTTGTGGTGCGCCGCTGGTAAATTCTGAGATACGAAATGAATTCTTTGTTTTGTTTATAAATTTTTTTCTCTTGTAATTTTCACGCATCTGCGATCGTTATCGAGAAAAAAGTAAAATCAATTTTTGTGATTCGCTACATTTAATTAAAATTTTTAACGGAACAATGAAAAAGCGAATTAGTGGGCTTTGACTGCTATTTTCATTTTGACGTTTAGGTTTGTTTTGAAGCATTTGACATTATTCGAAAGTTGGTGGATGTCTCATCGTGTATTTGTTTAACTTTAACGCTCTGTAGATCGGTAACGAAGCGTTTGCGGACACATGTTTATGGACAAAAACGTCTTATTTTGACCTGAAAAATACGCCCCTAAAATCTTGATACTGAATTTTGAAACACCCTGTATAATCGAATAATGGATTCTTTGCAGCTTGAAATTATCATAAAAATAATGATCAGAAATATTCTTATATTTCCAATAGTCTTATAATTAAACTTAATTAGTTACTAATTTGTATATAGCCAAATTAGTCAATAGATGAGTATTTATTTCATAAATCGATTTGTTTCCTTATTCTTGTCAGATAAACAAGTTTTCGTGGAAAAACCAGTTGCCGATTGAATTCAAACGACTCGCGGTAGGAATAATTACACAACATTTCACGATGTTACGCCTATGAAATCCAAGCTAATTAAACATAATATTGCATCAAACATTGTTGCAGAGAGAATCCGAGATGTTCCGACTTTTAACCTTCCTCACCTTATTCCTAATTGTATTATAATGGAGTAATGGGTCGGTTTAATTCCAGCAATTATCGAAAAAACTGATGTGGGCGAAATTTAAATGGTTCTTGTGCTGATAATATTTTTATTGTATAGTGTCCACCTTGAGCAGGAACATGCATATTTGAAGTTGGAGTATAATAATTATTATATGTGCATACCTAATTTGTGTGAAATAAGCGGAGGAATATTCATTGACCAAGGCGTAGTGAGATATAGGATTATACAAATAAATATAGGTGAGTTCCTTAAATTTCACACTTCTTCGAAGAAAGTCAGATTATTTTCATTAAAAGAGTGCACGAGAAGAAAAACCGGTAAAGTCAGTAATTGGCGAGTTTTAGAGATAGAGCGCACAAATTGCAGCCCATCAAAGGATCTTTGTTTTCCGTATATACACTCAGTTCCAAAAAAAGTGACGCACTTGATATTTGACCTATCTTCTTAAAAACAAAAATAGTAGGCCGATTTTTATTTATTTTTTTATTTGTTGGTAGGTGATGCATTTGTCTTTAAAAAAAATAAAGAGGTGAACATTTTTTCAAAGCCTCCTTGATGGTGGTGGAATAACTCGATCCATGATTTATTCTTAATTTTTGACTCACCCTATGTGTTAATTGAGTAATGGTATACAAAGTGCTTGAACCCTATACGAAAGAGGCTTCTTTTGCTTTTGTTCTTTTATCCATTGATTTATCTCTAAAAGTTTCCGAATCACAGCTTTTTTGCTGATACCTTTCGCTTATCCCACAAATTGAACATATTGAAGGATCAGAGTACTCAAAATCGATTGGGTTGTACTCTGGTAGGATCACATTATCTTTAAAAAAACAAATGCCGTTGCCATAGCAACTAATTTGTTGTATGCCTCCATGGGTTGCGTGCAAGAACTGTCAGATGACCGACACTGGAGGCAAAATATTGAAAGTATTGAAACACAACATCACTTTACTTATTTGTTTACAAGTGATTGAAATAGTTTTTCACAATTATTTTGGCATACGAATCGTATTTTTCCGCTATTCATCAATTCGCTCATGCCATCACATTATGCTGTTGTGAAATGCACAAAAACTGCAGCGGAAGACGAAGTAATCCGGTTGGTACAATATGATTTAAAAGTAAGTACCTACTATAGTCACTCACATATAATGTTTTCATTTTTGAAATTTGGTAATTTCTCTGATTTCTCATCGGAATTCGTTCTGCGATAGAAGCTAATAGAAATACATCTGAAATTTCTAAAATAATGCCAGAAAATTGGATTCATGCAATCAATCGGGAGGACTGGTCTGACATGCTGACGATCGTGTGTGTTGTAGACATTTTCAATCTATTAGCACATTAGCAGTATTAGCTTGTATTGCAGAAGTGACAGAAGGCAGAAGGAATTTCAATAAGGAATGACAACATTTCATAATGATAACTATGTGAGATTACTATTTACCTGAAAAATCATATTCTTCAGTCTCTTGCTGCATTTTTTGTGCATTGTACAACAGCACAATGCGAAGGCATGCTCGAATTAATGAATAGCGCAAAAAAACACGATTCGTATGCCAAAATATTGTGAAAAACTATTTCAATCCTTCGATTCCTCTGTAACCAAGTAAAAAAGTGAGGTTGTGTTTCAATAATTCACAGAAGAATGAGGTTGTGTTTCAATATTTTGCCTCCAGGGTCAGTCATCGTGCACGCGACCTATATTTGGCCATTTGTCGTTGTGTCATTAATTAAGTGTCTTGTTTTATTGACTAAAATTACATAAAATGCCTCAAATGAATCTTGAATAAGTAGCAAGATTAGTTGCGTTAGTAAACGATGGGCGTAGTAAACGTTACGCCGCTAGTGCAGTGAGAGTTCATGAAGCAACTGCAATCCGCAAGTACGAACAAACTGGAAGCACCGCTCGGAGGGTCGGTTCTGGTCGCCCCCGAAAAACTTCTCCAAGAGATGATCGCTTCTTGAGATTGCGGATATTACGGAATCGATCAAATACTGCGGTAAATGTTCAGCAAGATCTTCGCCAAATTCGTGATGTTGCAGTAAGTAAGCAGACGGTATGTAGACGTCTAAAAGAAGTTAATTTAAAAGCTAGGAGACCTGCAAAAGGTCCCAAATTATTGCCCGAACATCGTGCTGCTAGAAGAAATTTTGTTGAGAATTATGGACAGTGGAATATTCCTGAATGGTCGAATATCTTGTTTACTGATGAGGCAAGGTTTTGCCTTAACATGGTGGATGGAAGAAAACTAGTGTGGAGAAGAACTGGTGAACGGTTTAATCAAAATTTAATAACAGAATGCGAAAGTTTTAATGGTGGGTCCGTTATGGTGTGGGGAGGGATTTCAATGAATGGAAAGACTCCCCTTCATGTTTTTCCGGTGAGCCAGTCGATGAATGCCCAAATTTACATTGACATTTTAGAGCAGTATGTCTTACCTTATGCAAAGTTAGTGGGCAATAATTTCATATTGATGCAGGATAATGCCCGACCACACACCGCAGCAATAGTGCGAAACTTCTTAGAAGCTACATTACAATGGCATGCGAGAAGCCCCGATATGAAACCTATAGAACATTTGTAGGATGAATTAGGGAGAAGGGTACGTTCTCGCGAGAGGTCTCCGGAAAGTCTCGCAGAAATGGCAGATGCATTAGTGGAAGAATGGTATCGTATACCAATGGAAACGATAAGCAACTTAATTTCCAGTAAGTTAGAAGTTCTTAGAGTTGCTAGAGGAGGCAATACACGGTATTAAGTATTCATCCCAATTTATAATTTTGTGTTTAATAAAAATGTTTTTTTAAATTATTGGTATCAGTTTATTCAATTAGAAAATTGTTTCTCGATAAATTCAGAAAGGTAATCTACAAGGATTCAGCAAAAAAAGCTGTAATTCGGAAAATTTTAGAGATAAATCAATGATTAAAAAAACATAATGCTCGCAAAAGAAGCCTCTTCCGTATAGGGTGCGAGCACTTTCTAGTCCATTACTCAATTAACACACATGGTGAGTCAAAAATTAAGAATTAATCATGGTTCGAGTTATTCCACCTCCATCAAGGAGGCTTTGAAAAAATTTTCACCTCTCCATTTTTCTCAAACCAACCAACAAATAAAAAAAAATAAAAATCGGCCTACTATTTTTTTTTTTTAAGAAGATAGGTCAAATATCAAGTGCGTCACTTTTTTTGGAACTGAGTGCATATCAGACAAGGGAAAAAGTACTTGAGTCTGCTGAAACAAACGATCAAAAATAACCCATGCAGAAAAAACAGGCTAAGTCCATGCTTCAGTGAAAACGAACCGGCTAACTAACATCTACATAATCTAGGTCTTGATTTAGTTGTCTATTAGTCAGATCGTGCAGTATACTCGCATTTGAAGTCTAGCTCTGCTATATATAGGTAGTATTTTTGAAACACTTGAACTTGAGAGATTCGAATGAAGTATTTTTATGACGGATTTATATAAATTTCTTAATACAGCATCATTAGTGCTGAGCCCGAGTTGGAGATGGTGATAGACCTTGAAAGTTCATTGATCTCTGTTGTTGTGGTTATGCTTCTATCTGCCACCTTCTGCTATGTGGACATGGTCCATCGGAAGATTTGTTGAGAATTTCTTTCTGATTCTGAAAATAATATATAAAAACATCAAACATTATGGCTAGTTTCACTGTCGATTTTCCTCAAGTCTGGAAACGAAAAGAACCACATAGTTCCCAAGTAATAAAACAAACACCATATGCCTAAAGCCATTATGGCTAAGGTAGGACTAGTATGCAAATTTTGCAAAATTCCATCATTATTATCCTTTAATCTTTGAATATGGTGATGATGATGCCTTCGATAATTTTTATCCAAATTCTTTTATTTGCAGAGTGCTTAGCGATAATTAGGTATATCTTATAGGTACACCTACCTATATTGGAATAATCAGAATAAATATACATTTTTATTTTTATTACCTTGTACATTATCACCCACGCTCACTATCATATTATATTCGTTTCATTCATTCCCTTTGGAGTGCAAAGAACGGTGAGCAAATAATTTTTTTCCGTAAAAATAAAACGTTAACTTTTTCTTCCCATCTGAATGATAATTTTTTCGATGGTTCAGTCCTCTGTGAGTGTTCGCAAGCGTCAAGTTCAGTGTAAACACGGAAAGCCAATCAAGCAGGATCAGGTAATGTATTATCATAACTCGATTTCATTCGTGTTTAATTTACGTAAGGTTTTTGTTATCATTGTTGAAATAGTAAAGAAAGTCACAACAATTCGATCATTATGGTTGACAGGACCTTGGACCATTATTTTGTTTGACCATTTTACCACATTTCACACGCACCAAATGAAATTGATAAAAACTATTCATCAGAAATAACGGGTGAGTACCACTTCATTCGTATATTGTTATATCTCAGGATTATGTTCTGGCCATGCAGTGTCTTCTTTCAATCAGTAATTTTCACGACTTCGGCCTTAATTTGTTTTTTTTTTGTTTCAAAGATAAATGATATAAGGAAACAGGTGAAACTGCAATTATCATGCGATGTTTTTTTTTTCGGAAAAATTGTCTAGGTACTTTCGTATTTTTTAGTGAAAAACACGATTTTTGATAATGAACATGTAAACAAACCACTATTCATCGAGATAACTCAGTATGAAGTTCGAAATTTTGCTGTGTTGGATGCATTCACCAGACTATGATATGAACAATTTACTTTGTATAATAATATTATAATATGGACACGTCAAAACAATTCATTTCACGAATCATCCTATAGAAAATGATACTAGGTATCTAATAGTTAGTGTTTTCAAGAAATATGAATTATTATTATTTTCTTGCACTTTTGACACCTTGTATCTAGACGTGATGTATTCTAGAACAAACGTTTAGGGAAATTCTTTATCTTTAAAAGAGAGTGAAAAAGTCTCTTTCACCATATCACATATTTCAACTAGTTTCGAGGGTCTGGTCGAATTTTAAAATTCAGTGATACTTCTGGTGCCTCAAACATCGCCGAAAGCGAACGCTCAGGTTTGGCCATTGACCTCTGACTGCAAAAGTGTCATGCCAGTTTTCCAGAATATTTTTTTGTTAGGAAGATGTTCATTTTGTTCCATTTTTTCAAGTTCTATCACCTATATGTATAGGTAGGTACTTCATTTAACGTCACAATTACGAAAATACCCTGTATATGCCTGAAACCCACTACATCAAGTTCTAAGAGTATAGAGGTAGTAAAATAGGTAGATATCAAATAATTTTTTTTGTGATAATCCTATCAGAATACGACCAATCAGAGGCATCCATCAGTCTTTTTCATTTGAGCCTAATAGTTTTTTTTTCCAATTCCATCAATCAATCATGATGGCTGTGCATAGTATTAAAGTAAAAGGAAAATAAATACCATACCAGAAATGTGATCCCTTTGAGCATCTATACTTATATATATTTATGTTGAAATTTTTTTCTGGAATCAGCAGGAAAAAAAACGGTCAATAAACGGTTTCCGGAAATATAATCGAAAACTATTTGATCGAAATCACTTAATCGAACATAATTTGATCGAAAATTAATTGATCGAAATATTGATTGATCGAAAAATTAAATGATCGGAAAATCAAATGATCGGAATTATATTTCACACTTATAACATATATAATATACTGGGTGTTTCACAGGTAAAGGGAAATATTTCAATGGTAGATAGGGGTCACCAAGCTGGTTCTGAAAATACCATATTTGGTAGGTCTTAGAGTCTTCATAACGGAGATAAAGGGCGATTTATCGATTTCGAATAATTATTCATTCGTCTATGAATGTATTGACCTACCCAATATATTTTTCTCAAATTTGGTAAGGAGCTTATACTTGGAACGTTAAATTCATTCACCTATCGGGCGGAGTGAAAATTCAGGTTCGGCTTCAGGAAAAATTTACATTCATTCGAAATATCAAAATAACACACTGTATTCAATAATTAACACAGTACATCAAAAGAATTGTGAAGAGGAGGAAAAACTGAATTGGGTTTGATGCTTTTTGTTTTTCCGCCACCAATTCTCATCGTAACAATCATAAACAGAAAGTTGAAGGTATGTCAATTTGAAGAGTATTGAAATTATGAAACCACTGTCAATTATGATTTTTCGATATTTCAATCAAAAAATCGCTCGAAAGAATCACAGTCTTTATAACGGTGATACAGGAGACGGTGTTATTAGCTATTTTTCAGAACTATAGCACAACAAAAGCCATCAACAGTGTATACAAGGGGAATCTGAAAGTTTTTTCAACAGAATATATATCTCACCAAAATAAGTTGTTCGATTTAATTCGATGCACCTTCATTTTTCTGGTTTATTTACAACTGTTGTTTGTCAGTTGTGACAGTAGAGTAGAAAATTGTATGTCCTTTCTGAACTTGCATAAGTAGAACAGTTTTTCAGTTGTTGTTTCTGGTTCTTAGTCAGAATTAGTTTCATACAATAGGCCGAAAGTACTAGCAATGTCTCATTTGAATGATATGGCTGTATAGACAATGAATACACTTCAAAATAAGGTTTCACTCAACTTACTATTTCGTGGGGAGGGTGCTCACGTGGAGGGGGTGAAGGAGGTTGGATTTTTTATGTCACAGAATGTAAAAAATCCAAGAGGCGAAAAAGTTGTAGTTTTAGTCACACTATCTCAGGGAATTATCGAAATTAAATTGAAGTCATCAATGAGTTTTATGAAATTGCCTCCGCCATAACGCCACAGTTTATATTATTTTGTATCTAGTTACGGCCAAATTATATAGCCCCTTATCACTAGAAACAACGCTGCTAATTTTCGAACAAATTAGTGAAAAGATATTTGAACTCATTTAAGAAAACATCATTTAGAAAGAACTTCAGTATCCTGTATCTTGTAAACAATGCGTTTCCGGACCTATATTTATGGAAACTCTTTTTCATAAAAAGATCTGAGGAATCACCCCTCAAATATTGCAGCGTCTTTTTCAGACAACCTGTATATATACAGGGTGTCCGCTGAAACGAGGTCAATCCATTAACCATATATTCCTTGAACAAAAACAATATGAGTTTTTAAATACCATTTTTTATTTTAGCCCTTCATATTCGATATACAGAGTGTCAAAGTTGGAAATTGAAAACTGTTTTTTTCTTATTACTCGCGTATTTAATAAGATATTGATCTCAAAATTGGTACATTACTTCAGCACAAAGAGTTACATCGTGTGAGGAAAACGAAACAGAAAAAAACTGTCAATTATTCAAAATACTGAGGGTCAAGTATACACTTACCCCCATATTTTTTTTGTACGTTCGCTAATGACTTCCCTTCGCTTTTTCTTCAAGTGTTCAATCATTTTTGAGTATTTTTTGTCTCTTGTGAAATTTCGATAAAATTATTTGTTTTCAAGATAATTGGAAAAGTACTGGTTATTGTTTGATGCCTATGCGGCTTACGGTAATCTCATAATGTTCACATACTCCTATTTATTTCGTCGAAATTGGAAGAGGGCGTATTTTTTCACGTACGAAAAGGTAAATATGAAAATACCGGATGCTCACAGCGAAATTATTTTTACAAAAAAAAATGAAAAAAAGTGAAGACACGTAATTTTTTTTTGCCAATCGAACGGCGGGGGGGGGAGGGAATGTCGATTGACGAGCCCACCCTTTTGAAGGACTATTAAATTCTTTCTAAAACCGATTTCAGCGGTTTTGGGTGGTGCGGAATTTTTTAAAAATACTTTCGAGCCTCTTTCCCACCGTATGGTATGTCGGGCGCGAACGAACGGGAAATAAAATCGAAAAAAATGTAACAAAAAATATTTTCGGACATTTTTGGTGAAATTATGATATTCATGATTTCAATAGCTACTTGATGAAAGAAATAGCAGATCAGGATTGTCTATGGATGTATGAAAGATTTTGTGCATGAGCCACATATTTTTCAAAGGCTAAGATTTTCTTTAATTATTTTTTGTTTTGTTTTCCTCACACGATGTAACTCTTTGTGCTGAAGTAATGTATCAATTTTGAGATTGATATCTTATTAAATACGCGAGTAATTAGAAAAAAAAAACAGTTTATAATTTTCAACTTTGACACCCTGTATATCGAATATGAAGGGCTGAAATGAAAAATGGTATTTAGAAACTCATATTGTTCCTGTTCAAGGAATATATGGTTAATGGATTGACCTCCTTTTAGCGGACACCCTGTATATGGGTAATATTTCAAATGAGGTGGGTAGTTCTTTGATGTTATACTATAGATATCTATAACCCCGAAATAATAATTACCTATAAATCTGCCAGATATTCATAGAGGTATTATATCACACTTATTTCAATACACAGTGGCGTCACTTTTTCACAGGGATATATCATGAAAAGTATTGCTCTCAGAAATGAATAAAGTATGTTTTTATTCGCATTGATTTATTAAAACACAATTCACCTTGTTAAATAACTGACCCACCAAAAAGATAGGATGCACAGGATGATTCTGAGAGAACATATTTTCTCAAATAAATCACATCCGAAAAGTTTTTTTCTTGAGTTGGATAGCTATGGGACTCTAGAGTTGGCATTTTCAAATAATTCTCAACTGACCTTACCGTAATAAAACCGATTGAAACTCAAAACCGCCGACTCCATTTCAATTAATGCGGGGTCCGTTAAAATGTATTTAAAACTTCAGAGTCGCATATAGGTCTTAACTAAAAAATTGTGATAGAAGAAACCTCTCAGAAAACCTATAAGAAAAAAATTGTAATTTTGTTAGGAAGATAATTTTTCTGACGCCATTTCCAATTTCCTTCATTTTGGAAAGGGTTGAGAATACGAATAAATATATCCTACACTAGTGATGTGAAGGGGGAACGTTCCCTTCGTGCTGTGGGGAACGTTCGCGAAAGTTCGTGCACGATAAATTGTTCGTCCGCGCAATATAGATCTTCAGCACGAACAAGAATTTTCAGCATGAACGAGAATTTTCAACGCGAACAAGAATTTTCGAAACTATCCCAGCCATTCAGCGCGATTTGGTTTTTGATTTCGTTAACACATTATTCTCGTTGGGTAACAAGTAGTACATTTCTGTTTTTTCACAAAAAATTAGGTGAATACCTACTTGATTTTGATTTAATCAACAAGAATA